TGTGTGTGTGTGTGTGTGTGTGTGTGTGTGTGTGTGTAGGGTGGGGGGTATTAGATTTATACTTGTAAAAAACGTGCTTTCTGGGGTGACATTTTGTCATCAGTCATTTAATACTGCGGTGCTGTGAAAACTGAGACTCCACTTCCACGTCTATTAAAATACAAAGAATTTGCAAACAGACATTCAACTGCTTTTTCTCAGGTGTCATGATTACCTATGCATGTAATCAAGGCAGATTTTTATGTTTTTGACTCACATGTATTCTTTAAGTTGTCATTTTAATTAATTTTATTCTGTTTCATATGATAGTCAAAATTATTTTAGCTGCATTCTTTGTGGTAGCTCACACTTCGTGTGGCACATCTTGCTTATAGCTGATTTATTTCAACAGTAAACATAAGTTGCAATGAATCACAATAAGTTTAGAAACCGGGACAAATGCGTTTGAAGATTATTTTAATTAACTGTAGCAATCAATTCATTACAACACATTTTTCTTCATTAAAGATGTTCCAAAACTAACAAAACTCATAAACCCACAACAAATAAACTGGCATACAGAGGATTCTGACTTTTTGTTAAAAATAATGAAAAATAAAAATTATATTTCAATATACTTCATAATTATATAGTAAATTATCTTAAATAAATAAAAAGCAATGCTAAAACATAAGCATCCTGTAGCTGTAAACGGTTGACTGTCTATGAGGTATGTATAAGTAAAAGTAGGTCTGCATAAACACAAGAATTCTGAGCACCAAAACCCCCCAAATAGATATCTTATCCTCACTTCTTTGTTTAAGATATAACACTATAACCCACAATTAAAGGGGAATTTAAATTGCTGTTATCAAAATAGTCACACTCATGTAGTCACATAGTAGACATCACATCCAATGTCTCCAGGTTTAATGACACCAACAGCTTCAGGTTGTCTTTGCATTCCTGCACTAGACTCTGTTTGTAGCTGTCATCTTTCACTGCTAGTGAGTCTCCCTCATAATGCTGAGAATTGCCTGTTGGCTGAAAAGAAACTGACTGTGTGCATAGTTCATCCACAAAACTGTCCCACTGATCTTCGTGTGAATGGATGGTTTCATGCTCAGGAAGACCTTGTTTACTTTTCAGTAACTCATTAGCTACTCTCAGTGCACAGCTGGCAGTCAGTGATGGAGGGTATTTGTTGAAAGCATAGTCTGCAAGAGTCAGCTCACAAACATTTTGTGCAAGGTTGCTGCACTGCCTGGGCATTTTTGGGTCAGGATTCATCCTTGAAATCCTGTCATCACCTTTGTTCCTAGTCACTAGCTGTGAAGCCTCGATGCAGTTGGTGTAATAGTCTAGAAAAAAGGCCAGGGTGGGTGCAGAGAGGCGGAAGTTAAGACGAAGCAGGATGAGACACTCCAGGTTGCAGAGCTGCTCTTTGGTGAACACATCACAGCACAATGACAAGAGATGGCTGATTCGTGGTGAGCAGACCTCCACCTGCAGAGGACAAAGAAAAGGATAGTAGAATGATATCCAAAAACACAAACCGTCTGCTCCACGAGCATACCACACAAACCTGTTTACTGGCTAGGAGAAGTGCGGTGACACCAATGAGCTGGAAGCAGTCAGCAGCAACAGGTGTGGAGGCCAGGAACCTGTCCATGATGTTCACAGCCAAGCAGCAACACTCGAAAGACAGACGGAAATGTTTGTGCACAGGGATGAGCCAGCTGACCAGCTTACAGCGGGCCTCTGCGGTCAACTGTATGTAAAACACACACTCATCAAAATAAAAACTTTTAGTGACCTTGGTTCTTAAATATGATGTGCTCTTAATGTACAACAAGGTATATATTTTCTGGCATTTCACAGTACAGTACCCTACATATTATCAGTAAATGGTCCTAAAATCGTCATGTCACACTTGCTCCTCTAAGATCCATAAAATGACATGTGGTGTGCCTCAAGGGTCGGTTCTAGGCCCTGTACTTTTTAATTTGTATATG